CAGCTCCCGTGAGCCCTTGTTTCAGCCCCAGCACCCTCTGACCCCCAGTCACATGGGCTAAGGCAATGGCGAAAAATGACATGGTTGACGTCCACTTCGCCCAGCAGGAATGGGCACTCTTCTGCCAGCCCAATGAGGCTGGACCCCTGCTGGGGCAGGGGTAAGATGGGTGCCCCCACAGATGCCCACCCTTCTATCCCCGCAGACGCCCCCTGGACTGTGCTCCTGGCCAGTGTGGACCCCGAGGCAACCTCAGTGATGGTCAAGGGCTTGGTTCCTGCGCGGTCCTACCAGTTCCGACTCTGTGCTGTCAACGACGTGGGGAAAGGCCAGTTCAGCAAGGACACAGAGAGGTGAGGAGGCAAGCCCTCTTCCATGGCAGGTCTCAGTGGCTGCAGCTGAAGGAGGGGCCAAGAGGGGCTGGCTACAGCCCAACCAGTGTGGCAGAGAAGGGCTGGGCTGCCGAGCACACTCCGCGTGGCTTCTCTCTGGCCCCTCCAGGCTCAGTCTCCACATCTGTAAAATGGGGATAAAAATAACCGTACTTACCTCACAGACATACTATGAGATAGATACTACAGGGAAAACAATGAGAGCAGTGCCTAGCACATGGTGAAAACCAAACCAAACCCTTTGCCACCGAGTCAATCCCAACTCATAGTGACCCTATAGGACAGGGTAGAACTGCCTCTGTAGGGTTTCCAAGGAGCACCTGGTGGATTTGAACTGCCGACCTTTTGGTTAGCAGCCGAACTATTAACCACTACACCACCAGGGCACATGGTAAGCACTAACTAAATCTAGCTGTCCCTGATTGGTGCACATGATTAATGCACTTGGCTGCTAACCAAATGATTGGTGGCTTGAGTCCACCCAGAGGCTCCTTGGAAGAAAGGCCTGGAGATCTCCTTATAAAAAATCAGCCTCTAAAAACCATGTGGAGCACAGTTCTGCTGGGACACACACATGGGGTCGCTGTGAGTCGGAATCGACTCCATGACAACTGGTTTATAACTGGAGTTATGCCAAGTTCAGAAACTTACCCCACTGTGCTCTGTGTCCCCCACGGGCCACCATCATTGTTTGTCAAATAGACGTGAGGTCCCAGCGGGATAAAGGATCTTCACAGGGCTCCATAGCCAATGCCTTGTATGGCACCAAGCACTACTCAACAAAGCTTTTTTTAAAACAATGGAAATTGAATAAAAGCAGATAAACCCTTTTAAAAAGTCACATCGTAATACCCCCACTTATGTAAGTGGCAAGTTCTAGCCACTTCAGCCCCTTAGAACAAGCAGGCACCTCCAGTGAGATTGAAGACGTCCAGTGGTTGAAATCACAGCAACGCAAGGCACGTGCGCCAAACGCATGCTTTTACTCTTTAAAAGTCGCCCCCAGGGCTCTTCTGCCCAGACCCCTGGCCTAAGCCAACCGTTCTTGGGTTTGCTGCAGTTCCCATAAGCTTGAGTCTCTCTGGCTTTGGCAAGTGGGGAGCTGC